GCCAGTAGGTCAATAATGCTATAAAAATGAGCAATGCTAGGTGTTTAATGAAAAAGCGTTTTAAAGTAATTTTAGTATGCCATTTTGCTGGAACCCAAATAGTGCTCTTTCACCAGGAAAAAATGCAAATTTGTAAGTATAGTTGACCCTTGAACCATGCAGAGGCTAGGAGTGCTGACCCCTTGCCTAATCAAAATCCACGTATAACTTTGGACTCCCCCCAAATTTAACTACTAATAGCTTACTGTTGACCAGAAGCCTTACCAATAACATAAACACATTTTGTACATGTTATATACTATATTTTAAGGATAATCTAGATGAAAGAATATGCTATTAAGAAAACAGTAAGAAAGAGAGAAATACGTTTACTATTCATTAAGTGAAGGTAGATTGTCAAAAAGGTATTCATAGTCATCATCTTCATGTTGAGTAGGTTTAGGAGGAGGAGGACGAGTGGGCTTAGAAGAGTTTGTCTTGCTATCTCAGGGGTGGCACAGATGGAAGAAAATCTATGTGAAAGCGGACCCTTGCAGATCAAATTCATTTTGTTCAAGAGTCAACTGTACTTACTAGAGGCTTGAGCATATCAAAATACTAACCTAACTTTGAGAGGATTTTTTGAAAATAATAAGAGTGTTTGAAGAGGACAATATATAAAGGGTTTGGGAGTGAGATCTGAGATCGAATCTTGGTTCTACCATTTCCTTCCTGTGTGTTCTTAGATAAGTCACTTAACTTCTCTGACTCTAAGTGCCTTAAGTTCCCAGTTTCTTCATCTGCCAGCTGGGAATAGTAGCCACATATCATAGATCTATAATGATTAACAAAAATAGCATTTGTAAAGAAACTTTTAGAGAGCCTTGCTTAACACAGATATTCAAGAATTGCTAGTTACCTTTTCTATCCTAAGTAGCTAGCCTCTCCCCCCGCTGGGGATGCTTTTTGGCATACGTGAACTCCACACAATACAGCTCTTAGGAAGAGATGTAAGATAAGATATATCCCAGACTCCAAGGGGTAGGTTGCAGGAATGGTTCAACTACAAAGCTGGGCTAGTCACTGTTCAGAGCAAAGTCATTTTTATTGTAATGAAATTTGAAAAGGCAGTTACATTAGTTACACATATACACAACCGACTTAATAATTGTTAGTCATAGAGAACATTCAAGAAATACAAATGATTTATCCACAGCACAGTTCACATCCATAAGAAAGGTTAAAAGAGAAATGAATCAAGTACTGAACCTGTCCACTGAAGCCGCTTATGGCCTTTTTTTTTTTAAAGGAAACTGAGAATGTTAGGTGGAGTAAGCTGCCTTGTTACTGCAAAGCCTCTAAAACCTCCATTTTGCTACTTTCATGGTCAGCGCCCTACAGCCCTTGGCCGGTTACTTGATCATAAATGTTTGGCCACAAGACCCAGAGACAAGCTGCCCCAGGCTCCAGGCAGTCGAGGTGGACAGCCAGGTGGCTCACAGCTCCTTAGTCCAGAGATTCGGTGGGGAAAGGGCGCCTGGTGAGTTAGGACACAGCAACTTAGACCCAACCAATTTTCTGGTAGTATAAAGAGTGCTTCTATTCTGATTCGTTATAGCTGGAGCAGTCAGGTTGCTGACTTGTTCCTGTTTGTGTGGCAGGTCTGAATGTATGGAGCAGGGGGGCCCAGACAGGAGAGTGTTCACTATTCTAGCACGACTCATGGGCTGCCTAGAGGGTTGCCAGTAGGGAGGAGACCACTATGTATTTCCTAGGGCCGGCCTCATCACTTGGCTAAAGCTAGTCGGAGCATGGACATATGCTAGTGTGGCTGATCTGGAGAACACAGTCACTTTACTGATACAGAAGGGTAAAGCTTCCAGTGTAGGTTGCGTGAACTGTCAGATTCCCCCCATTCTTTCCAATATTCACTACTCGTGAAATAGCAAGGATTGAACTTGATACACTGGAAAGCACAGCAGAAATGGCTGTTTATGATGACTCTAACACAACCAGAAGCTAAAACTAAATACAAAGCTGAGGGGGTGTGACATACAGGCTGAGTGTTCTAGAACCATCCTTGGCCACTGTAACCATCACTGACACTCTTGCAGTCTTGGGGGAGCCTCCCTGTAGCTGTGTCTGTGTCCTCACCAAAGGCTTAGGCAGTTACCACGTGACGCTCTTCTGTGGAAAGCCTTTTGCTTGCCTGGCCGAAGGAAAGTCAACTGAAAGTGGAGTCGTTCAGTTGAGGTGTGAGAAAAGAAGTGAGTTACAGAGCCAGAGTGCTAAGCACCTGTCCCTTTCCTAATCCAGCTTGGACCCCATCTCCAGCTGGAGAAGTGCCTGGGCTGGGCCTGGGCTGAAGGACAAGCAGATCGCAGGGGCCATGGCTGTTCTGGCCTCCTAGGCAAAGTGGTACTGGCATGGGATGTGCAAACCAGGATCATTAAACCCTCTGGGGCTTGAATTCTTACTCCAGTTTGTCTCAAAAATCCTTGGCGAGAATCCCTTGGGTGTGAGAGTCTCCCAGACTTGAGCTTCTCCCTCTCCATCACCTCCATTTTCATATTGGCCACTTGATGGCTTCCACAAATCATAAGAAAAAGTGGGGTCGAAGCTGGGCTCGGTGGCTCAGCCTGTAATCCTGCGCTTTGGGAGGCTGAGGTGTGAATTGCCTGAGCCTGTGGATTAGAGACACGGCTGTGCAACTTGGCGAGACCTCACCTCTACAATATATCAAAAAATCAGCCGGGCGTGGTAGCGCATGCCTGTAATTCTGGCTACTCGGAAGGCTGAGGCAGAAGGATCGCCGGAGCCCCGCAGGTCGAGGCTGCGGTGGCCGGGAGTGGCCACTGCACTCCAGTCTGGGTGACAGAGTGAGACTCCAACTCAACAAAAAAAAAAGTGGGGTCAGGACTAGAGAAGACACAGAACTCAAGCAGGCCAATTGGATTCCTGCAGGTGCACCTAGGATACAGCTGGAAGGGAAGGGGTCTGGGCCTATTTAGTCACAATGCCACCCATTGGGTCTGACTTTCATCTATGAATTGTTGCCTCCTGGGACCCAGCACTGAGTTGGCTGCACCCTGAACCTGTTTAAATGAGAGAAGCAGATGCTGGGAGCAAGGATCCTCTTTTTTTTTTTTTTTTTTGCATTCCCTCAGTGCCCAGCACATCCCAGATATGAGACAGGCTCTCAGTGAATATGTTTGTCTGCTGTACGCACCTAAGAAAAGTCCCCAATTTCCCTCCAAGAAATGGAAGCAAAACCAAACATAAGACTCCCTAAAACTTCCAAACGGACAAGCTAAAGGTTGCAAAAATTCTGTTTTTACTTCACTGAGAAATGCTTCTTTGATCTGAAAGCTATTTTTGTGCCTTTTTGGGAAATAATTATAGCCACAGCCTAGGGCAAGCTCAAGGCTGCTGGAGGCAGAGGCAGCTCCAGAGGCAGAGCCAGCAGAGGGAGGCCATTCAGGGGCTGGGAGGCCTGGTCGGGGCTAGTGCTGGGAGGGTGTGTGGAGCCTCAGCCACCTGTCATGTGTCCAGAAGCAACCACTGAAGTCAGAGCCAACATCACGTGCCTCCCATCTCAGGAGCCAGTCACCACTGCAGACACGAGGCTGCAGCAACCGTCAAGTCAGGGTTAAGGTAGAGTCTAGGAACTGGCACTGCACAAAGTTGGCAGCTGGCCAAAGGTGTTCTACTGAGCAACACTGTTTGCCTTTTATAGGTGAAATTCCACAGCAACGCAGAGCACGTGGAAGTCCCTGGATGCCAGACAAGGCTGAGGTTTAATGCAAAGCTTGCAAAGGATTGAAGCAAACACTCCCCTGCTCCGCCCTGGGTGTTGGGCGCACTCCTCTCAGGACAGCAAGAGCCAATGCCACCCTCCCTGGCATCCAAAATCCTTGGGTAGGCAGGCATGGGTTGTTTCTGAGTGTGGGCCTCACCAAGCAGGGTCTGTGAGGAGCTGCCTGAGGGACTCTGGGAGGAGTACAAGGGCTTTCACAGCGGGTGGGCCTCTCCACCTGCCCTAAGGTGGCTGTGGTGGCTTCTCTCCCTTATGCGAGTCAGTGATTGATGAGATGATGAGAAACAGGAGGGTAATGGTCACAAAAAGAAGAAAACCTGGAGGACTGAGACAGCCCTTGTTAGAGTAAAGGGTGCAGGAAAATAGGGGACAGATTCTTAAACTCTTCTCAAATCTGAAGAAAGCCCAGCAAGCTAGGGATGATGGCTCAGAGGTCGGCCAGGCAGAATCTTCTGGAAGTCAGCTCTTACTCCTGCTTGAGACCACCTGAGAAATTCAAGGTCCTCGTGAGCATGTGTCAGAATCAGAACTGGAACCAGAATTGGAATCCAAATCTTCTGCCCCGCAGGCCTCCCTGTCCCTCTCCCTTCCAAGATGCCACCATTTCTCCAGCTGAGCTGAAGAAGAATGCTCAGGTGGCCTGGAAGAACATGTTTTGGGAGTGTCAATCTCCATGCATGGGGGGAACCAGGCAGAATGTGGCACAGGATGGAGGCGGCCTGGCATCCTGCCCCTGCCAGGAGCATAGGGACACGGAGGCGGCTGCCCCAGCTCCACTTGTGACCTTAAGCTGTGTTGTCCTGGGTGGGGAGGAGGACTTCTTTGTCATTGGAGCAGTGAGACATGTCTGCATGGGATCTGGGCCAGAGTTGTTCAGACCCAAGATAGAGAGGGCGAGGGCTCTGGGGCTCCTGTGGGAGGAAAGACTGGTCCTCTAAGAGGAGAAACTTGAATCTGCAACAGGGGCTTGGACCAGAGAACTGACTTAGCAAAGGGAGTAGGTCCCTGGCCGTGACTCCTGGTGACCCTATTGAAGTGTCAGCCTGTCATCCCAGCTCCCCCATCCAGGCCTGGGCATCCTCCAATTACGGCCGGTGCTGCTGGCCTGGGGGACAGGCTGTACACTCGGTTCCCAAGCTCACGACACACACTGGATCCTACACAACCACTCTGGCTGTACACGACAGACACAGGGCACAACATATCCATCAGGACAGCAAGTTCATGTCACACCGCACAGAGTACACACGTCCCACGGCACAATGGACGCACGGACAGATCAGCAGAGCTGGGGGCAGCCGCCTCCATGTCCTTGTGCTCCTTGACTCTGGCTGGAAATACGAAGGCCGTGCGTTCCATTGGCCTGTTTCCCCAGCCTCCCCTGGCCCACCCATCCAGCAGGAGTGAAAAGCAAGAAGAAACCTGTTCTCAGCATCCTAGTGCTGCTTGGTCACTCTGGGCATTCACTGAACTTTGTATGGGTGTAAATGGTCTAGTAAGAGATTATTCACAACCAAACTGAAGGACCCAACAGGCTCACCTCACGAATACACACAGAGAAAATACAATAAATACAGCCAATCCCGAACGTCTACCTGGGCCCCTGCTCAGCGGCCCAGCAGCCCCGGCTGCGAGTGCGAGTGGAGTAATACCACGCCTGGGGACACACACGGGGGGAGATGGTTTCTGGTGGGGGGTCCGGCGGCAGGGGAAGCGGGGCGAGGGTGGACCCCATTTACAAGGGCGTCGATGTCACAGCATGGGTGGCACTGTACAGCGGGAGCCTCGTTCTGCCCACAGCTACTCAGAAAACGGTGGAAACATGCCCAGGTCGGCAAAGTCTTCGATGTTATAGTTGCCAGTTCCCTGGGTTGGGTCTCCCGGCATGGGCAGCATGTCCTGCAGAGGAGAAGAAACAAGAGCCACAGGGGAGTCAGCGCACCCATCCATGCACTGGGCACTTCCCAGGAGCCCGGCCTGCACTCACCCTCCCGGTCACCTAGTGGGGCAGCCCTGGGGTACTCCCCAGGCTTCTTCGGGAGGCTCTGCAGGGGTCCTCAAACACCCACGACCCAGGGAGCTGTCACGCCATCAGGAAGACAGCGTTAGGACACAGCCTCTGTCTATCCATGGCTGAGCAGGGGACACAGGGTACAAGGACCCCATGGGTGGGAACCATGTGTCCCACGCAGCACCTGGTCAAAATGCAAGAGACATGCAAGGCAGAGCTGGCGGAAGGAGGACGTGTGTGGAGACCTCCATGACCTGTCTTCAGTGTATATCTTAGGGCAGAACCAAATTCCTGAAAGGCTACACTTCAGTTTTAACAAGTCCCTGATATTTCAGTTTCTTATGGCACATTTCTCAATGTGTGTTATGTCGAATTATCAGCCCATGTGATACTATGAGCAAAGAATTCTGTGGACAAATAGATTTGGGAAATAATAATACTTTGCCTGCCTCCTAGAAATCCACAGTCCTCATGGGTATGAGCAAAGCTCTGATTAAGTCCTGCAATAGAGAAACTGAATAACCTTTGTTTAATCTGTGTTTCATAAACGTATTTGACCAAGAATTCTTTCTCGCATTATGACCATGAAGATTCACGTCAGGAAATTCTGCCTGATGAGGCTGCGGTGAGGCCTCACTCAGAACGGGCAAGAAATGTGGCCTCCCAGAAGGAGGCAGGAGGTAGGAGGAGGAAGAGGCAGTCAGGGGAGGCTGGCTAAGGCCCAGGCAAGGTGCTCCTCTACACATTAAGAGAATGCCATCCCTTTGGAGCCTGAGTGACATCTGGGCTCTAGACCTATGTCTGTGAAGATGGCACTTGACCTTGAGCTTGGGACAAGGGTGGGGTCAATAAAGCACTGCCCCTTGAGAAGGAGGGATCTCAGAACACTCCCATGACATGGTTCCTGCTCCTATTCTTGCTTTGTAGGGAAGGCCTAAGGCATGACAGGAGGTGCCTGGGCTTCTATTACAGGGACCTAGAGGGATAAGTTGAGTGAGATCTTAGTGGAAGGCTTGGAGTGGGGGTCACCAGGCTTGTGCCCCCATTTGGGGCCTTCCAGAGGGAACATTTCTGGCTGGAAGTCCAGCCAAGGAAACTAAAGCTGGCATGACCCTACTCTGTGGGCAGTGATGGTGCCCATTCCAGCCGGATAGTCTGTCCCAGGCACCAGGGATGGGCTAGGAATGTCTCAGGTGAGCTGCAAGGTGCAAGACATCCTCAACCAGGGATACCCTGAGCTGACCCACAGAGGAGAGCTGAGTCAGGGCAAGGCTGGTGCCAGGACCAGGCCCTGCGTGGGGGGAAGGGAAGTCCTCACCATCCTGTGGCTGCAGGGTGAGCCAGGGGGAGGCAGTCAAGGCCCGAGATGCCTGCAGCTCTCAGGAGAGATCCCTTCATCCTTGGCTTTGCGCATGACTCTCCTGGGTATCTCTGGGGCAGGGAAGAGTCCCTACTTGTAGGATCCCCTTCTGTGGGACGTGGCTCAAAGGCCACAAGCCCCTCCACCTTCCCGCAGGCACCCGAGGTTTCTGGCCAGACAGAATGGAACCTTCTACCCCTGGGCTCTGCTAGCCGGGGCAGGGCCAGAACTCACGAGCACTATCGGGCAGGCGGCGGTGCAGCAGAGAGTGAGGGGGAAAGGAAGCAGAGAGAAGGCGCCGGTACCTACGAGAAGGCGGTGCTGGCTCGATTTACCTGGAACACTTCAGTCTGACCGGGCTGCTGGTGGGAGTGCTGCTCACCGCTCTGCTGACCGTGGTGCTGGCTTTGCCACTGCGACCAGACTTCCGAAGGCCGCCCCTGGAACTGCCCGCTACTTTGTCCACTTTCAGCTGAAAGATCCGACGTACAGGACACTGCCTTTAAAAGCCATCCCGGGCTCCATGAGACCCAAGAAGCAGCGCAGCTTGGAGGGCCCCTCACTTCTGAGAGGCATGTTCCACCCAGAGCTGGTGGATGTGTTTGCTGGCCTGCCTCTCTCACACTGAGTGACAGATAATATGCAAAGTGGGTAAAAGAGACATGGGAGCCCTCTGCTCCATGGGGCAGGTGCTGTGCTGGAGAGGGTGGCTTTCCCTGGAGTCACTTCCCAGGTGATCAGGTGCTTTAAAACCTTGGGGCTCTCCACACCCTGGGTGACCACTCATGGAGGCTTCAGGGGAGAACCAGGGGACAGGGGCATGTCTGTGGGACCCAGAGTGTGGGCTGAGAGAGGACCTGTCCTTGGCAGCACGGATGTTGGCATGAGAAAGCAGACACCCACCGCCCCTGATCCCTGCTTAGTCCAAAGGCAGTTTATCTTTAAAGGAATGTGGCCTCGATAGAGGAAGCAGCACCTCACCCTAGTGTTCTACCGGAACTGTCAATCTCACCCTCCCTTGCTCCAGAATTCCCCTGGAACTGCCAACCTCACCCTTGCCCCTTGCAGCTCAGTGGAAGCCACACAGGGCCTTCCACAGGAGCTCCTGCTGGGCAAAAAGCCACACCCTCTTCCTGTCTGGCTCTTAGGCAGAGGGTTTCTTAGCATCAGTTTGTTTGGGAAGGAAAGAATTTGAGCACTGGTCACACAAGAAATGAGGGTTAGGGTTAGGGTTTAGGGAATCAGCCAGTTAACTTATAAATGAGAGCCACTCTGCTTCTGTCTATAGTTTATTTGAAAAAAAAAAGGAAAAATTCGTGGGATTTTGTCTGAAACATTTTTTGGATTCAAATGAAGAGGATGTTTAAGAAAAATACCCTTCTAAGAGGATGTCTTAAGGCACATCAAATACCTTAGGAATATTTTTTCTTCTTTCAAATCACTCAATACCATTTTGGAGACAGTTGGCTCTCTGTCAAGCTCTGGGTGGCAGGACAGGCCCCATCTTGCCCTGTCTTACTCCTTCCAATGGCCATGCTGGCCACGGTAAGCCTCACACCACACTCTACCTAGGCATGGAGGTTAAACTGAGACAAGGTTAGAAAGTGCTCAGGGAAGGCCATGCATGGTGGCTCACACCTGTAATCCCAGCACTTTGGGAGGCCCAGGTGGGCGGATTGTTTGAGCCCAGGAGCTTGAGACTAGTCTAGGCAACATAGTGAGACATTGTTTCCAGAAAAAAAAAAAATCAAAAAATTAGCTGAGACTGGTGGCACGCACCTATAGTCCCTGTTACTTGGGAAGCTGAAGTGAGAGAATCACCTGTGCCCAGGAGGTTGAGGCTGCAGTGAGCCATGATCATGCCACTGCACTCCAGCCTGAGTAAGAGTGAGATGCTGTCTCAAAAAGAAAAAAAGAAAAAAAAAGTGATTAAAGAGAAGAATGTCTTGCCGGGCTCGGTGGCTCAGCCTGTAATTCTAGCGCTTTGGGAGGCCAAGGTGAGTGGATTGCCTGAGCCCGCGCGTTCAAGACCTACCCGGGCAACTTGGTGAGACCTCATCTCTACAATAAATCAAAAAAATTAGCCAGGCATGGTAGCGCGTGCCTGTAGTTCCAGCTACTTGGAAGGCTGAGGTGGAAGGATTG